AAATGTTCAGATGTTATTTTCCCATGACAAGAGGTCATGTACTCACAGCATTTGAGTGAAAATTGTGCAAGAAAGATTATTCAGTGAACTTTAATTGTGAAACCCAAATGTTGAACTGTACCACTAACTCACTGTACCATTTAACTAATCACAATCACTGCGAAAATGTGCACACGTGTATAGAAACAAACCCATTTAACCTGGTTAACACGTAATTGCCAATCATCATCATGGACCAGAAAATTTGCAATGTCTCTAAAGCCTCATTGTTGCCTTCATCTGGCTACATTTTCAACCCCAAAGCAGTACATGCAGATATTACACACCATCTTTTTATTCAATGCATAAATTATTCTTGTAAGGTAATACTGCTGATTTGTTGATATCTGCCAGCCTTGGAAGAATCCAAGAGAAGTGTTTTGTGTTAGGCACTGATCAGATAGGCCCCGGCGTTTGCATTGAGAGATGTCTTTTTACAGTTGTTTTCTATATGTTTTAGATGTCCGAAGCACATTTTTGGAGGAGCACTCTGAATGCTTCAAATTGAAAAAACATTAACTAAGAGCAGAAAAGCCTCCCAACATCATTTGTGTTTTTTCCCCATTGACCAATCAGATGAGATCTGTGAACACAGACAGACACACAGCAAATTCACAGTTAGGCTTAGGACAGGTGATTTAGTGGTTGCCTAGCAACACTAGAAAAAACAACAAAAAAGACAAAAAGCTGAACAGGGCCTTAAACTTCCATTTGGGTTGTTCTGCTTCACTGATTGATACAGCAGGTGCTTCATCTTCATGTTCTGTGTTCATCTTGCCTACATGTTGTAGGTGACATCATTACCTATACACTAATGATACGGATGTCCAATCATGCCCCTGCCACAGACAAATGACAATTTGAAATCAATGTGACAATGTGAAAGGCATCACTCAGAGTGATGAACTGTACAGAGAATTATCATCCGAATCTGCAGCTCCCCTAGACTTTATAGAGCTTTTCTTGAGTTTTGGTTCACTCTCACCGCTCTCATAATGCTGTTTTGTCTCTAAAAATCCACTGTATACTAACTGCTCAGCACCAAACTGCAGACAGACACAGTTATGGACTATAGAGTGGAGCCTTTAGCAGCTAAAGTGCCAGATATTTCCCTCAGGAGTAGGTGGGGACCAAAAACACAGCTAAAAGAGAGTGAACATTGTACTTAAATTTATAAATACGCCCTAAAAATTACTCCAAATTAATGATAATGTTGCACCATAACATAATTTCTGTGTCATGATGTGGTTTGAACAGGCTCTCTTGATATTGTCAGCCACAAAGTCTCTTAGTATTATCAGAAAGAAAGCAAAGAGACAACACATAAACAGCTATAACCACATTAAATGTGCCAATCACATCTAACAAAACTCAACCAAGCAGATAGATAGTTTCTAACCCAAAAAAGTTATGGATTTAATTTTAACAGGCATCCATAGTGCATTGTTCTGACCTATCAATGCTGCTTCTGTTCTGAAGAACTATGATAAATGATGATGATGTCTCAAACGCAGACCTTCGGGCTGCTTTGTTCAGTCAGAAATGGGAAAAGAGGACTGGTGCAACACAGACAACTGATTGGTGCCTGCTTGCTCTCTGTACTAATTACACCCAGGTTTTTTGGCTCCACTGCACGAGAGATTTCCACATGTGGATCAGCTGTTTAATTTCAAATTGGATACAAGGGGAAGTGGAAAACAGAGTGGGAGATTTTGTTAGAGCTCACAGTCAAAGTTTTACAGTTATGGGAGAAGGTTCATTAAGTAGGGTCTGAGCACTGCTTTGGAGAGCCAGACGCAGTCCAGCTGGTCAACAAGGAACTCTAGAGCCTAATTAAATTATTTTATCTGTGGGTGTCAGGGACATAGACAGAGGGGACTTGGGTTGAGGTACAAACTCACTGAGCCACATCTGAATGTCCTGCAGTCTGAAAAGGCTGTTAATTCTTCTGCAGATGGGTAGACCGAGAGGAGAGTGGTAGTTTCCTTTTCACAGAGACCCAACTTGCTATACACTTAACATCGCTACCTACATATCAGTGTTAAAAACAATTGTCCTGTTTACGTTTTGACTTAATATGAAACATTTCATGGTGATATCTACATATTTACATATTCACTGACAGTTCAACTTTATACTGCACGGATGGACATGGTGGTTGTAGGGAATTCACAAGTAACACGGTGCTTCTTAAACTTTTTATGTGTCATCAACAAGTCAAAATTTTATTTTGTGCAATACTTTTGTTAATGACCAGATACCTACAAAACAAATGACAGTTCCATTAGTCTAAAAAATATGCTAATTAGCATACTTAATTTGCCAAAAAACAAAACTAAGATGGTGAATGTGATTAACATTACTTGCTAAAAGTCTGTATGTTAACATTGTCATTGTGAGCATATTAGCATACTCTTAGTCTTGTTTTTCCTCCAATATTATGATGAGGAAATGTACTTAAATGCCCACTTTATGGGAAAACTCATATTTAATGCAGATAGTGAGGGTTTTTTGTTTTCTCATGAGCAGTGACAATGACTAAGTGGAATCACAAAATTAATGTGAAAATTGAAATGTGTGCGTGAGAAAAAAGAGAGAGAATGTGAATGAGTGAATATTAAGTGAGACACAACGCAAAACTGTGATATGACATTGCTTAATGGAGCTAAATTATCCCAGAGGGTCATTTTAACACAACTAAAAATCACAATTACTGTCCCCATGTGGAACTACATCTATGTAGTTCCTGTGGAACTATGTCTATGAAGAAGAACCATACTAGGTCTTCTTCCTTAGCAGTGCGTGTGAATCTTAATTCTAGATGACTCATCCATTGACATGCTTCGATAGACTCACTTGACCAAGGATGCTGAGAAAACTGCTGGTGACTTGGAACACCGCAGCATTTGAAAATAATGTAATATTTTATTGGTAGCAATGTGTAGTCTCCTTTTTGTAATACGTTGCCTGTACATGTAACCAATGTCACAAAAGCATCATTATTTATTTGGGACATATTCTCAACTCACCTTCATTCTTCAAAGTTGGTTTGTGTCTAGGTGTGTATATGTATATGTAAGTGCTGTACAGTAAATGCACAAAGAGACTGGGGGATATTAAGCATGTGAGAGACAATATCAGAGGAGCTAGCTGGAAGCATTTCAAAGGTGTGTTCTGTTCCCTTAGGGGAAGGAGGAGACAGCTAATTACTACTGAGATTCCCCATTCGCCATCTCTTATTAGTCATTTCCTCGTTACCGGCAGGCATGGAGGCAACCAGCCACTGAGAATAAAACCAATTTATCCTCCGTCCTTCCTGTTTTTACTGTGCCTCCAGCTAGACCTCCCAGCTATAGCAGTGTTAAAGACGCCCAACAGAGTTTAAAGGCATTAAAGGTAATCTGATAACATGGAGGCAATGAGCTGATTCCACTAAACAACAGCACCTTGTCCCAGTGTGCGAGCCTGCTGTTGATTTTATTGCCAGTGAATGTTAAGCGCTGATGAGTGTTCTTTAATTGTGGCCATAAATCAGCAGGCCAGGCACAACAAGGGTTATAGGAGAGAGAGAGAGAGAGAGAGAGAGAGAGAGATTTGAAGAGACATGAACTGAATTCACAACACACACACTCACTTATTTATTTTTTTATTTTTTATTTTAACACACACGTACACACTATTTTACTGTTTTTTTATTTTTCTTTAATTAATTGTATGAAATGAATTGTTCTTTTGTATTATATTTTAACCTTTGGCAATATTGTTGTTTGACATTCATGCCAATAAAGCTGAATTGAATTGAAGTGAGAGAGAGAGAGCAAGAGAGAGAGAGACAGTCAGAGAGAGAGGTCTTTAACACAGCACTCACCTGAGGCTCACAGCCCCACTGGACATTCAGTGGCCTTACCAAGGTCAGCAGCCATCATAATCAAAGCCTCCTTGTTTTCATGATAATGTGAGGATGGTCTCCTCCCAGAGCACTCACCACATCCTGCATCTTTGTCCCTGAATCTGACAAAAATGAAGGTCTATGTCTCCCCACAAGTAGGTGTCACCATGGAAACAACCGTTATTCAGTGCTCTCAACAATAGCCGTTAAATGAAAGGAGCTGCCTGATGGAATTAAAGAGTAGGCTCAGTCCCTCTTTCCATGCAGTAAGTACCCACAGCATCAGCAGCCAAACCACACAGGGCAAATGTGTACATGATAGCATAACCTACATTTCATCAAGCACATCAATATTGTTCTCTCATTTCTATTCATCCCTCCTGCGTAGCTGCGAGCGGTGAGATAATGTTTTGTGAGATGATCACTGAGATGAGTGAGTAGGATCACAGGAAACTGGATGGCAAAGGTAGACAGATGTAGTATAAAATGTTTGACAAAATAATGAAAACTTTATATTATGATAACAAGTCACAGACAGTTTCAGTTAAATGATGAGGTTTATTTACCTAACTGCAAGACAGAGAGCGTCAACTACAAGAACAGAGGTTTGTGCAAATGCAGGCTTGCATATTAGCATATCATAAGACCCAAAGGAATGACTGCACAGCACAGCTTAACAATAAAAGTAAGCATGCAATAAATCCCTTTCTTCCTTTTGAAGAAATTAAATATTTACTAATGATGCATGGGTTGCTTCTCACCCACAGGGCCTGCAGTTACACCAGTTGCATATTCGGGTTATGGACTGTAAACATTGTTCTGATTAACAGTGGAAGGGTGAAAGAGAGAGACATACATCAGTGTGGTGTAAAACCTATGACTTGGTAATTTTGTCTGACAATGGTGCAAGCATAGATAAGGGGAAATAAGCAGCTCAGTGAATTCTTCCCTGCTTTTTTTAATCTGCAGTGCAAGATGGCCACATGAACTGTGGTCTTATTGTCTCCAGTATTTCAACTCGCTGTTGTTTCACCACTGTGGCACAAATGATTAGACATGAATGTATTTTTTCTTTTTTCTGTTTAAAGTGACAACCCCAATGGCTGTGCACTTGGTTTCAGTTAGCACACAATCAATATCAAATCAAAATCCTTGAATACTTTAGCACTTCACGCATGATTGATAGCATTTAATGAAAAGATAAAGATTGAAAATTATTTTCAAAAAAGGTCTGAAGTGTTATTTGTTTGGGGGCAAATCTGGTGAGGCATTAAAGACCCATGCATCACTGTTTCACATGTATTACCATAAGACATCTAATACATTTTGTAATTCAGGTAACTCCAAAACAGCATGAAACATTTGCATGGCTCATTGTATTGGTCTAAGACAGAGAAAATAGTTATTTTGGCATTGTTGTATTACTTAATTGATTAATAAGAACAAATAGAAAAAGACAAAGAAATAACATTTTCTATGTTCTGAGGTCAGTCATCTATGAATTACAGTATATCACATCTCATTAAAATTTTAAGTGGGTAATTAACCATTTGAGCTGGTGCAGCTCATAACCTGAGGCAAAGTAGCAATAAGGTGATACAGGTAATAGGGACCAAAGAGTGAATTGCCATGTAAGGCACAAATCACAAAAGAAGTGCTGATGGCTTTTAGTTATTAATATCTGAGCTGCTTTGCTCTCAAGGAACAGCAATATTGGTTGATATCTGCACTTCCTGCTTTATTTAGTCAGAATAAGTAGCCACTAAAGATTTATGGAAAAGCTCAAAGCTGGTTTCATAGGTGAAGGCTTACAAAACTGCTTCATGTAATAGTTATTATTAACTACACATTTTTCAAGTGAAGAATCTGGAACGTATGAAAATAAAAGACTATATTAAGATGCGTTAACACACACAACAAATTATTCATCATACAAAAACGTCAAGGTTTCTCGATAAATAACCTGTAACGTCAAATGCTTTTTATTCCAGCAGGGTATTTTCTAAATTTTGCAACCATCCCCTCCCAGTTGTAAACCAGTAACATAGAGCTGAGCTTCAGACCAAAGTCCCTCCAGAATAATTTACATTCAAGAAACTGAGTATGGCTCCAAATCTAGGCCTGCTGAATCAATCTGCCTCATCCTGTGATCCACAGTAAATGAAGAATCGTCAGTAGTTGTGGTCTTCAAAGGAGTTCGGAAAGCAGCTCACAGTAGAGCTAGCTGTGTTTAGGTGAATTCATAAGATGTCAATAATCTGTGTCTGGGGAGGGCTGGGAAAGCTTTAGAGGACAAATCAGACTATTCTTCTGAAGCATTTAATGGCAGGGACAGCTTGGTTTTCAGCCAAGTGAATTAGTCACCGTTCAGAGTTGTTAAGAGCACAAATACACCACATAAGATAAATGCAAAAACATTAAGCAAATATACAAAGTACAGAGTCATTAGAACAGGCCACAAATAATATATATATATATTTTAAACTGTATTGTGAATAGTAAGATTTTAAAACAGTGAAGCATTTGATTTGCTGACACTTTTCAGTCAGACTGCTGGTCTCATAAAATGTTCCACTTTTAGGGGATATTATGCTTTCATTGGATCTAAAAGATCCACTTTGTAATTCTTTAATACAGTGGAATATTGCTTTGCATATGTAATCAAAAACCAAGGCAAAGGAAATAAATCAATTAATTCCAGTAACGAATGTGTTTAGTTCGGAGAGAGAAGTGAGAATTATATTTAATTAATTCAAATCTCCAAACTGTTTTTAAATGTATGCCCAGCTTAATGATGCTTGATAATACATTGTTCAGGAACCTGCTTGTATCGGTCTTTATCTATCTTTCTTACTATCATGTGTATTGAGGAAAAATTTGATTTGATAAAGTAAAGGAAACATTTTGTTTTGTTAAGGTTCCTTGCACAAGTGATAAAAATGTGTAGAGGGTGGCTTTTGAAAACTTTGTAAACATTTGGTCAATTCAACTCTTTTACTTTCATGTTCAGTTGACACTCCTTGAAACTGTAATTACAGTACATGAACACATGATCGCTCCCATCTTGTCTGGCTCATGGAAATATTCACACAGTTATTTACAATAAAAAAACAGCATCCCAAACAGCAATTTGCTTTTTCTGCTTTAAAGAGTCACTTTCAGGGAGCGATTGTGCCTCAACCTCTGTAGCATTTACACGTTGGAAGAAAACTGAGGCCAAAACATGGTAGCTTTTTCTGGCTACGCTCTGATCACTATGACGACAATCTGACAAATGAAAGTGAAGGTTATAGCCTATGATGAACATTGTAAAGCTCAATACAACAGCAGAAAAATCAAATGTAGCCTTTCAAATAAATAGTGATCTTCAGTCAAGAGCTGACTTCACATGAAAAGAACTGATTCACTGAACAGTTTGTTCTGGTGATGCATGACATGTGCAATGATGAGGAAAACCTTCTATGGTAAGAAGCATTTTAATGATCACTGAGAACATTTTCTAATAATGATAAATTCTTTAGATTTTTAATATACGGATGTAAGTTTAACTGATACAACACATTCCAGAGCTAGTTTTATGAACAATGCTGTGTTTTACAGCACTCACCGTGATCGGCTTTGTGCTTTAATTTGATTTAAACGGTGTTCTCAACAGTTAAATTCGTTATGAAACATCAAACATCGTAGAACTATATGGCATATAAAAAGCGTCCGAAAGGAAAAAAAATAATGAAACATACTACAAAAACATGAAGAATGCTACCCACTCAGGGATGACAACAATCATGAACAATTCAGAGGGAAAGGATTCACCTGACATGAAGCATTTTCACAGCTTATATCATAGCCACCTTACAAAAGACCAAAAAAACGGTGCAATCATTCATCTTCTCTTGGAGAAAAATGTTACTCAGGGTTGGTTCACAGCTAACGTCAAAAAAGACAGCTCTTACTGCATGGCAACCGAAACACATCTCCTGCTTCAACCTGACTGTATTTTCTGTCTCGCTGTGATTAGCTTCCTGTTGTAACTGAAAAAGCATACAAAGAGCTCAAGCTATAGCAAATATCGCACATTGCTGAGGTTCTGTCACTTGCATTTTCACAGATGTACAAGGTGAACAGGTCTGAGGTGGTGACATCTCACACCTGAACAAAGACTTCATTGCTGCTGTTTTCTCACCTTTTTATTAAGGTCTAATTTCCGAATATTCAGCTAAGTGTTTTACACAGAATATACCAACTTGGCAACCCGCAGATGATAACTGCCAAACACGCTCAGCATTGCTTGCTATTATATTTGCTAGGTAGGGATGTTGTCATTCATAGTTCATGCTGTCGCAGATGGGATATTTTTTTGTTTTGTTGCAAATGGCTGGTGAACTTTGCAACAGAGCTCTTAATTTTCACATTAGATTATAATAGTTCATTTATATTTTACTAGACAAATTAAGCATTAGTGATGTGAATAGTGAAGTCTATTCCCATGTTAAACCCTAGTAGGTTGATTTGTAATTGAGATCTGTCTGTGCCTGGAAATACTGTCGTCAATACATAATAAGGACAATCATGCAGCCTGACAGACTTAAGTATAGGAGGGAAGGTCAATGTAATGATAATAATCACGTCTGAATGCAGCGTCTCGTTTTTTTAGTTCTGGTGATTCATCTGAAACATCTAAATATTGTCAGTATGGTCAAGTTGAGCAGTCTAATTTTGATTGTGAGATACTGAAATCTTCAAAATGACCTGAAGATATGACATAAGGAAAATGGTAACATAATAGACAGAGTTGAAGCGGAGAATTTCATGGGCAGCGAGGAATAATAAGCCTGCATCTGATCGATGGATCAGCACTGAGGGATTGGCCTGCATGCATTAAAATTTGGAGAGAAAAAAAAAACAATCCACCAGGGCAGGATGTTGCTGAAACAGCTGGATGGTCAAATTGCTGAGCAAGAAAGAAGTGCCGGATCCACACTAAGCATAAAATAAAAAAAACACAGTCTCCGTCATACTGTTCTTGTGTAAACACTTTGATAGCAGTGAAAAAAGGAGAAAAGAAAAATAGTAACAACACATTAAGAAAGATTTTCTCTTCCTTCCTTCCAAAATCGCGAGGCATGCGTCCTTTCTCCCTCTCAGTTTGCTGGACTGGTGCTATGGTCAAAGCTCGGTCCCAGGAACGGGTGGGTGGTTATTCTGTTGGTGTGGTGGCGACTGGGCTAAGGATGGGCGTCGATGACTCCCTCACAGGACACATAGGGGAGATGGCCTTATGGCTGTAGTACTCTACTACTTGCTTGGGCACCTCTGCCAGAACACATTTGGCCAGGGCTGCAGGTGATGCCTGCAACAGAGATAAAGAGCAGCTTTGTTGTCAAAACAACTGTTAGATATTGTTTTAATCTGTAATACAGAATATTTTGCCGGTGAAGCTTTTAAGGTTTTTTTTCCTGATGAGGGGACTATCGATGGTGACAAATTAAAAGAAGTATGTCAGTGTCAGTATACTGTTCTGTTCATGACTTCTTGGAAAGGTCTCTTCTACCTTGATCCTAAGAGCTACATAAAAATGAATAATATGTCTTGCAGGGTTTTGTAGTTGATTCTTTCATTGTTAAACTAGAAGTACATGAGCTAAAAAACTACAGCTGTTTAAGCATTTTTTGATTCAGTGGCATAAATCTCTCAAACCCTCTTACACAACGGTATAATTTAATTATACCAATAAATGTGTCTAGATTTCTATCAAATTTGTGTGCCAGGTCAGGACACATCATGTTGTGGATTTTATGTAAATTATACAGATGTATGACAAATTAAATTAAAAAAGTGTCTTGGTGAGATGCACCGTTGGGAAGAACACCGTTATTTCAAAATGTATTCCCTCATTTGGTGTTTTGATGAGGGTGGAAAGCATTGCACAATGCATTTGATAGTGTTCTCATTCATTTAGATTTTTCCTTTAATTTGCCATTCATGTGTATATAGTAAATATATATTGTAACATAAATTTGAGGAAATGTTACTGTTGATCTAGTGCACACCAGTCCACATAATTAAACAACTAAATTGTCGCTGATTGCATATAGCTACATTTAGAGTACATTGTTATTTGAGGAAATTTCTGGATCTCCTCCAGTCCATGATGCCCATCTGTAGCACTGGCAAAGCCAGCAACAGCCTCCTGTTTGCTCTTTTAAATAAAAAGGGATAGGGACGTTATATAAAAAATATTTAATGTCCATGAGTCTTATTAGCATGGCAGTCAGAAGGCGTGGGGTTTAAGAGAAAAGTGAAAGTGAGCGTTGACAGATAAAGAAAAGAACTGACCGTTTTGAAGTCTCTGAAGGGCACAAACTGCACAATGTCCCTGAGGACCGGCTCGCCCTTTGGTGAGCGTAGGACTCCATCATCTCCATCTAAAATCTGCATGTCTGTGAAGTCTGCATTGCCCACACCAACTATGATTATGGAGAGAGGCTGGTAGGAGGCTCGTACAATGGCTTCGCGCGTGTCTGCCATGTCTGTCACCACACCATCCGTGAGGATGAGCAGGATGTGGTATCGCTGGAAGAAGATAAGAGCTTTCACTGTGAATTAAATTAATCCATGCTAACATTAACCCAATTTAACAGCAACGTGTGGTTATAAGTAAGGACAACTCTCAGTGTGTGTTGTGGTTTGAAGTAGGCCTTACATGCTGTCTTGGATAATTTTACAGCCTTCACTCAGTAGTGTGTTTACGACACTTTGTTAAAGTGTTACACAGAAAACAAGGGGATCAAGATCAGATAAAAAAGGAGCATGTTAAAAACAAAAGACATAGCAACTACATCTCAAACTACAGCAGAGATATGGTTTGTGTGCATGTATGCGTGTATATGTGAAATGAATTAAATGTTTCCACAGAACAGTATAATATTAGGAGTACAGTAAAATTATATTAACATAGCACAATATACTGTAATCATTTTTGATTGGTCTCATGAGTGGTAGTTACCCTGGCTGTTTATGTGTTTCTAAATGTCCTGAGTGTGTGTATTTCTAATGGGTACACTGAAAGACTAATTGTTTACTGCAGCTCATTTACTGATCAAATAAGGACTGATATTTAGGAGTAAATAATTACAAGGTCAACACAATTACAGGAGTGTAATAGTTTGGACACAATGTTCGTGCAGCCCGTAGGTAATTTAAGTTACAAAATAAATAAAAGATGATTCTACTCCCAAAGAGATATTCAGGAAAGCACAATAGCTCTATCAAATCCCACTTTAACTGCTGTTCACGAGGTAATTTCAAACAAAAATGGTCAATGATATGGAAATATGTTACAAAATACACCACCAATACGACACTGTATGACTTCAATCCATAATTTAAAGAGTACTAACTTATTCTATTATGGGCTCCTTCTTCTTTTGCACTGTAGGGCATCATTACTATAAAGTGAGGTGGACCAGAGGCTACTCACTCTGGGGATGCACAACAACAAAAGCCTGTACTACATCCTGTAAAGGGACACTCACAGAGGCATCTTTAATGTTGCCGTCGCCTGCTGCCAGCTTGGCTATCCTGTTAATGATGGGAGAAACATTGGTTGGGCCATACAACTGGATCTTAGGAAGGCAGTTCTGGTACGCCTCAACCACTCCTTGGATCTCTAATCAAAGAGAGCACAGTGCAAAATGAAGGAAACGTCATCACAGATATCTACACTTGCCAGTCAGCAAGCAACTGCATACTAAAAGGTACAGTCAGGTGAATCATTCAGACTAGCAAAGAATTATGAGAGGTTTGATACTATGTCACACACAAGTTAGTAAAATACTCAAAAAGTAAAAAAAATCAGTACAGATGAGTTAGTTTATTTCTTGTGATGGGGTGCCTGCTAAGCAATATTGACATTTTAGCAGCTGTGTCGACAGACTGCAGATGTTATTTTTCTAGTATTATTAGCAGAGAGATGCACTTTTCGGGGGAACTGGAGTACAAAGCTTCTCCTTACCTTCACATTCATCATCCTCTGGGTTGAAATTAATGGCAAAGTCATGAGACACCTGTAAATGGGAAAAGAATTGTGAAACACTGCTAATTTGGTGTTACGGAGGCCTTTTTAAAAAATTATTTCCATGTTGTATCAGAAAAGTAAAATGAATGTCCGGTAATGCTGAAGTAACTTTTATAATACTGTCTAGCTGAAACAACCATGACTCTGCAGAAGCAAGGGAACCAAAATTGAAACTGGTAAACACAACCTGGGTGCATTAGTGTTCCTTGAATTTGTTACATGAGGTACTGATTTATATTGGCATATACTACATTCTGAAGGGTCTGCTTGTGTTAATATCCTGAATCATCACACTATACAGTAATGAGCATATAGCACGCACTATATGTTTAATGTCTGGTTTCTGAAGAGATTCAACTCCTCTTCTTCTATCTAGTCGCTATCAAAACGTCAGATTGACTTTGTTTATCTCAAAGCTGTTTAATTGGCAGAAATTAAATCCCCTTCTTGATAGCTACCCTCACAAGAAAACGTTGGGGTTTTTTTTCACAAGCACCAACTGTCAGCCAGATCAGTGACAACTGACTCCTCTCCAGCTGGCTACTTTTTTAAAAGTCATTTTTGTCTTTAATGTGATTAACAGCCTGAATTTAGTCACTGTATAGATAGATATGAGGAGTGCCAGAGGAATTAATCATACAGACCACGATTTAGTTTTGCATAGGGCCACAGCAAGAGAAGGGATCATGTTCTGTATCTCATTTAAGAGGCCTGTTTCACAACCATTTTATAGGGCAAAGCCGGAATTGCACTTGTAATCATTTATAATAATAACTAATAATGGCTGTCTTCCATTTTGGTGTCGCTGTTGTAAGGCTCTGATATTGTGCAGGCTGGTTCACCAGCGTGGCTTATAGGAACACTGAAATGGAATGGAGCATAGTTAAGCATCGGTAATGTTATTTGTTACACATTTGCATTTCCTGCATGGCAGTCAGTCATTCAATTTTGCAGTCTTATTTTTTAGCTTTGCCTGTTACCCTAAGTGCTTGAAAAAATCTTTTGGGGTGAAAAATCAACCACTCCTTAAATGTAAGGTTTAAAAGGCCATGGAAACATGTTGTCTCAGTCGTCTTCCTTCTACTCAGTTTTAGTTATTTCAGTTGAGAGATTTTTGTATTCATGAGTTTGAAGATGACAGGGTTCATCTGAAATAAGGTGATGCCACGTGCTTTGGAGAACTAATCAGGATTTGGCAAAATTTAGCTCTAAATCTGATCATAGCTGTGGGGTTGTTTGCTTCTGTTGGCAGACTACTGTCAATCAAATATGATCAAACCACACTCACACAGTCCACATCTATGGAAAAATTATACACTGTTGCCTGTCCAGTCTGGTCCAGTTCGTGTTCAGACTGATGATTTACAAACAAACCAAAAGGTGTAAGCATGAAGTTATACAGACTGACAGGTAACTCATTCATTAGAAAGTTTTGGTGTGTTTCCTGTGACTGACAGCAAGTCATAGTGCAAGGTGCTCAAGCTTCTTATGTGTTTATTTATGTTCTCTGGTGTCACAAAGAGCTCACAAAGAAATAACATAACATAAAGAACATTTTTAGTATTTGCCTGCAAATTTACCCCACGTTATGCATAATGACAAACAGTGTTGTTGGGGGATTTCTGTGGGGTTGCTGTCACACACGTTTCAATGGACTTAATGCAATTCCAAAGTACACGGAGTACTTTATCAGCTTTCGACTGTCAGGGGAAAGCCCTGCACTCACATGCTGACATGCATAAGTGTTACCACGGTTACCAAAATGATTTGCATAAATATATAGGCTAAATTGCATCCTGGACAGTTTGCAGTCAGTAGTTGGATTGAATAGTACTGTGGCTTTAAAATCATGCTAAAATCATATCATATTCCACGTCTGCTATATAGAAACCTGGGGTTTGCTTTCAAATCACCACTGAACCACACCATTCCAAACCAAACAAGTTAGGTGTAAAAGCACCCTTAAACTATTCATAAATAATACCTAGGGATGTTCTTTTTTCAACCTTGGCTTTGACTGGTGCAAGTTCAGTCTTGCAATTCTCAGGTTATAGAGAAATAGATATTAATTAATAGACACGCCCTGTGGGGTCATGTGTGGGTGTGGCCGATCTTTATCCCTTGCAGGTGAAGAGCTGAGACTGATTGCAGTAACTCTGGGCACCTGGGCTAATTGCCCTGTAGAGTATTTGTAACGCCTTATTCTCATTTTTAGGGATGATGCTGCTGGGCTGAGGACACAGATCTCCCCGCTAACTTGCTACCCTCTGTTTTCCCCCACAGGTTCTGCCATTGTTTCTTGACATGCTGTTTTGGTTGTAGTTAATGTTTCTTGCACATTACAACACCCTTATGCACATTTTGTCATCCTACCCTGACATGACTGGAACCACTGATGTTCATACTTTATCACCTTTACTTTGACATCAATTTTAATTTGGTTGATTTTGGTTTAAATAAACATTTTTTTTAAACATTGCCATGGTGTGTCTCCCTTTGTGGCCTTTTGAGCCAGGCAACCATTTTAACAAAATGTTTATTTAAACCAAAAATGTGTGTAAGGGTGTTGTAATGTGGCAAAGATGGAACCTGTGGAGGCAAACCAAGTGTAGCAAGTTAGCAGGGAGATCTGTGTCCTCCGCCCAGCAGCATCATCATTGAGAATGAGAGTAAGGCGTTGCAAATACTCTACAGGGCAATTAGACCAGGTGCCCAGAGTTACTGCTATCAGTCCCAGCTCTTCACCTGCAAGGGATAAAGATTGGCCACACCCACACATGACCCTGCAGGACGTCACAATATGATATCATGTTTGTGGAGATTTCAAATTAACAAACACAATAGGCCAGATCTTGGATATTCATATTTGTTTTCTAATCACACTATGCATAATGCATAACTGAGGACACAAGAGTGCACAGCAACACATACTGCGAAAGAGTCGCGGCCCATCAAACTTACACACAGGTGTAGCCTATGAGTTCATAGATGCATTTCATGATTAGTCTAATTACTTAATTAGCATTCACCTGCACCACCAACATGCAGTAAAATAAATTTGACACTGTCATGATAAGTTTAGAAATTAATAGTTTCTATTTACTGAGCCACAAAACTTTGCATGATTGAAACAATAGTTATCAGTGTTTCACATCGGCACATAGCACAGTACAATCTTAAATTATACATAGGTTGTTCTGGTTTCATAGATAATCAAAAAGCATAGTGATTCAACTGTGTATGTGTACGTGTGTGTGAGTGTGCACACATGTTCCCTCTTTCTTCACATGTCAGATGTCCCCCCAGGGCTCCATTCACTTAAACAAACTCATGAATTCTCATGTAAATTGAACATTAACACTACTGGGCACTACGTTACCAGTTGATATTTTAAGGCACAGGGCTTATGAATGAAAATAACGTCATTAATAGTTAAATGTGAAATTTTACAGAATGGCAAATTGTGTCATGACATTGCTAGCATATGCGATTCGATAAGTGCACATGAATATACAATATGCAAAATGCTGTTCATATTGTTCAAGCATTAAAGCAGGGAGAGCAAAATACGACCAGAGATACTCACCTCGTAATTTGGAGGGATTCTGGCACCAAACCCCAAAGCTGAAAATCTTTTGTCACTGAAAATGATAAGCAAATTAATCAGTCATATATTTCAGTTACTGCAGTTTAATCGGGGGTAGCATTTGACATCAATCTGAAAAATATTGATGGCTTATCCATTTGTTCACATTTCCAAGGGCAAAGCCTCTGCTTATTTGCATTTCATAAATGTTAAAAGCTTGAATTACAATTTGAAATCTGCCCCACAGTCCCTGCAGCCAGCATTTGCACCTGTTCAAAGAGCTTCTCACATCTTTATCCTCTCCATTTTTCATCGTACCATTTAGATGGGAAGATATTACTGTAAGAGGATCTGCTATCCTAGATTGTGTGCTCCTTGTGAAAGGCAAGGGCACACAGTTTTGTATAAATAACAAGACACAGAATACATCTAAAACCACTCCTTATTTACCATTATGTTTACCCTCTGCTATTTTACTTGTGTATCAGAAGTCTAAGCATGAAATTTAGGAAACTAAGACATGACACTGTGAGTCCACACCTTCCCAGCTGTCAACAGCAACAAAGTGATGTTTGAGATATACAAAGGGAATACTGTACGTGTAGATACCCTGGACAGCAAGGCTTGATGGTTCAATGACATGCGGTAGCTGTGTGGAACATGTTCCTCAAGTATTCAATCAATTTAATTGATTTACTGCGGACATGGGGAGGTTGCGTCAAAGGGTTCACAGCAAAGTTTATAGTGTTAATAAGTGTTGATTTATTTGGTGTGTTGACAAGTGTTGATTAGAGAGTTGTTTGTCCACTCATAGAGCTAATATGGCTTTGAGGCAGCTTTTCAGAGCTATCAGAAGTGTTTAATTAACTCTGATGGGTGTGGACTTATATAAACACTGGCAGAGTGATGATTTTTCACACTGTCTGAATGAGCAACAAACTCTTAACTGTGAACTCTTGACATAAACAACTTCACTTTGGCAAGTTTTAGCTGTTCTACTAAAATAATTGGTAGTAGTGGTTGTTTTTGTTGTAGCAGCAATAATAATATACTAACACCAAAACAGATAATAAAACATTATTATTATTATTGTTATTATTATTATTATTATTGCTCCTCTTCAAGGAACTTGGAAGAGAAAAAGGATAATGTGTTTCTTTTCCCATTATCTTGCAGTATTATGTTTAGAGTGGCTGCAAATGGTAACAGCAGCAGATGGTAGGCTTTGGTGAATTTGTGCTTAGTTAGAAAGACTGAATATGGAACATTGGCCATTTTGAGCACAGATTTGGTAATTATCATTATTTTTTGTTCCAAGAAAAAAAATTATGAACATGTGAATGAGTCCAATGTTTACACACTCCAGTAACAATATTCCAAACAAATGAATAGATTTTGGTGTCCAATAGGTTCTGCAACAACATAAAAAGATGTCTTTGCTCTAAACTCACCTTCAGCATTTGTATGTTTTCAACTCAGTTTTTATCCCCTTTCATCAAAAAAACTCCCATCCCTAACTCCCACTATGGCGACCTTTCAAACTCAGCAAGGCATGCTGTATGGACACATATTAATAGGGGAAAAAATGAATTATGTTTTTGGTATTATATTGGTTTTACTAGCTTTACCAATGTAGAGAAAGATTTTTAATGAAAACATTTTTAATGGGGAATGAGTCATTCATGCTCAGCCAATTTTATTATTCTTAGAATGGTAAGGCAAAGCACTCATTATCTCGACATCTCTTTCCATACTTTCCATACTAAATTTGCCCTAGGATACTTAATGAATTGATTTCTATGCACAATTTATAAATGTCTTAAGAGATCTTCAAACTCATAGGTGTAGAGACATGGCATAGCACCTTCTGCCCAGACAAGAGAAGACTACTTACAAGTCATTTTCATTATAAGAATTTCTCTGTGAAGTGCATGGTGGTCCTTGTTTGCTCACTTTGTCTGCACACGTGAGGAGCCAAAGGGAAGATGTGCCCAGTATAATAGCCCTCTCAGCAAGGTAAATGAGCCTCTGCCCACACAGACAAAGCTAGTCAGCTCCATAATGCACTCCTCTGCATGGACTCTAAAATCCCACATCACCTAAATTCACTAAAGGCTAAAAGGTTTGCTTGCCCACGTTTTACACCTCAATAACAATTCCAATTTAAGAGAGAAGAGCTGCCTACACTTGCAGTCACTGCTCTCCCAGAGGCATGTTTCCATGTATGATGCTCTTGTGTATCTATGTAAACATGAAAATGATAACGCTACAAGGCTGAGCTGCTAATTTACAGGCAGTTTTTCAGTGTCTCCAGTGCTATCTCTTTGGATGCTATAATTAGCCAGACAGTGCTGCCCTGATATTCAATAGGAGGATCTGCATAAATCAGCAGTCAGTGTTAATCCTCATCTGGCTTAGTTTTGACAGATGAGATGGTCTTTCTCTGAAACATATCGTATGATAAATAATTTCCCATTAATTAGCAGGTACTTGCAAGCCTGCCTGCAATAACTAATAGTTTTTTGCACATTTGTACATTGTTTGTGTGTGACTGAAGCCAAAACCTGATAACTATATTGGCCAGTATGCACATTTACAGTAACATGAGTTTTCAATTAAAAATATAACTTTGTTCAAATAGCTTTAGCTAATGATTCCTCAAATAGGCTTAATGCTGCACCTTTTCTGTCTTTACATCTGATTCTACGCCTCACTGTAATTTCTCCAGCCATTAGCTTCACACTTCTGTTTGAAGTGCCTGCTATCCTGGTGTAAGCCCCTATCTCTGCATGTGTTTGACTGTAGTCCAGGATAATGAGAATATGCAAGCTAGGAGGCAGCTGCAGAAGATGCTGAGAGGAAACTGTATCACTGAGTTAACCGCAGGAGAAAGCACATGCAGCCACCACTGTGAGCAAAGAGATTGTGAAGTATGCAAAACAGTTGGCACTGTCTTTACAAACAGCAAAGGCAAAATTGTGTATTTGTGTGTGTGTGTGTGTGTGTGTGTGTGTGTATTTTTCCTTTATTGGACAGTGACAGCAGACACACCAACAGACAACATGGGCAGTGAGAGAGAGAGAGGGGTATGACATGCAACTGAGGTCCCCAGGCCAGAATCAAACCACAGATGCAACAGTCCCATGATGTGCATCTTAACCTCCAGGCCACCAGGATGTCCAACTTCACCTACTTTTTAATAATATTCTATGTCACATTAGCACATAATGTGGAGGACAATAAGACAATAAGGATTTATCTTTATATCTATATCCTAAAATGTTTTTTGCAACTTCAAGAAGTCCTTTAAACTCTTTCTTTAAGTGTACCTTGGTCTAGTTTCCACCAAAACCAAATTACTTTATCACCAACCAATGGCTAAAATTCCTAAATGTCCACCAAAGTTCTCTGAAATTACTTTAAAAGGGGAAAAATTTATTCATCTATGAGTGGGATATGTAGGGGGGTCCACTATCAGACATGCAAACAAACAAACTGGACCAATTTGCAATTTGTGTTTGAATGGAGCGTGGTTGTGGAGAGGGAGCTTGTGCAGGTAAGTCAAGTAAATTGCATTACTTAGGGATGTTTTTGTAATTGTGATGACAGGTAACATGTAGTCTGTCATCAAAACAAGTAATTTTGATCAAAATGTCATAAGGAAACTCACTGCATTATATGTAGTATACTGTTTATATACTAAAATACATGATGCTTTTCTTAACCTCTTTAACAGTCACATTGGTTTGTTTTATTGTTTTATTTGCATAAATAAAAATGTGAGACGTGTGGTGTTTGTAGACTTATTTTCTTTCCCAACTGTTACGCTTGACTGGATTAGAAATGAATTAATAAATTTCTTAGAAATCTCTGCCAGAAAGCTGTCAGTTACAAAACTGATGTCTGCACAGGATTTAAATGCCTGTGGCTGATATAAAGGTCAAAATGTCATCTGTCTGATAGATTGTTAAAAGGAAATTTATGGATACTTAATAGCTAGCCAATAAGGAACCACAAAGTGTGTCCAGAATATTGTGTCAGTGTCCTTAACTGCTGCTACCAAGCACCATCTTCAGCCCCAGATTAGCCTCATGCATAAGTAATGCCAGCAGACCCCAAATTTGTTTGATCTAATTTTGTACAAACACTTTCTCATGCATTACGTAGCCACGGGTTTAACACAGATTCAATTTGACTTACCACTGTGAACTCGATGTGGACAATAAACAAGATTGTATTTGTGCTGCAAGCTGCTTTTTGATAATGCAAGGCTTGTAACTCAACTATTAGAGCAAATTCAAAATGCAAAATACTCTTCAGTGAAGAAATTAATCTGGGATGGAGGAGCTGGCGGTCAACAGTTCAGCTCCATCAGCTGTATAGCAGACTGGTGAGCAGAAATGTAATAAGGATTGTCTCTTGCCATTCTGCCTCAGTACCCCATGATTCCTTTTCCAATCCTTTTGCCATGGTTCTGATGGAGTGGCTTGTTACAGTGTGAGAGAAATGGCATGCAAGGAGCAGCTCTATTTCACAACAGTGACAATGACAACTGACAATCCCTGTGGGCACCAAAGAGCCTTTGCTGAGAAACAAGAGATTGACAAACCTATCATAGTCTTGACAGATCTCCCCCACTGCTATTAGAGCCTTCAGGTACTCGTTGGGCTGGTACGGGTTGATGTAGTGCAATGAGCAGCTGTTCCTGGGGTCTCCATTGGAGGCTGTGAAGTCAATGGCAACCTGGTAGAAGGAGAAAGTGTACAGAATGAACAATTCTGTGTAAGTGAGCCTGCAACATGCCTAATGGCAGTATAAATTATCTGATCAGAGGTAAGAATTTGCACTTTTTTACACCCACATACACTGTAGACCCAAGCAGCCAGCTATTTCAACAACAAGGAACTGCATCTACCAAAGCAGTCCACATGATTAGTATTCATTGCTTCAATAATTCAGCTAGAGAGTGAGAGGAAGCATTACAGAGGGCGCACCAAAGGGCAAGAGTTGAAGACTGCTTGGATTTACCATGAAGCTACCTACAACAAGAAAACTAACACAGACAAAAAACACCCATCAGGGGATGTTTCACAGATCAAAAGATCTGTAAATACTGTCAGCAAAGGCGAAATGTTGAAATCCTTTACTTAAGTAAAAGTACTAATACCGTACTGTTAAAATACTCTGTTGCAAGTGAAAGTATTGCATTGAAATGTTACTTAAGTAGAAGAATGTACATTTACATTTGGCTGACGCTTTTATCCAAAGCGATTACAATTACAATTGCTATTTTTTAACGTCAGAGGTCGCACGCCTCTGGAGCAACTAAGTGTCTTGCTCAGGGACACACTGGTGGGTGTCAAAGTGGGGAGTTGAGACCCGGGTTCAACTCCCCACCAATCTCATATCAAAGGCATACGTCTTATCCACTGTTCCTCACCACCCATGTAAGTATGATCAGGATAATGTATAGTAAAGTGTAAGTATTAAAAGTAAAAGTACTAAATTTATATATATTATATAAACTATTATATATTCTATCATTAGATTATTATTACTCATGCATTAATGTAAAAGCAGGATTTTACTGTTGTAGTTGGTTTAGGTGGAGTAGCATTCAGGAAGAAGAAGATGAAGAATTACTTTATCAATCCCTTTTGGGAAATTCAATCTAAGAATTTCTTTTAGAAAATAGTAAACAATGCCGTCACAATTACCCAGAACCCAAAGTGACACCTTACAATGCTTGTTTTGTCTAACAAATAGTGAAAATGATTTAAAAATAAATGTTAAAATAAATGTTATGAAAATAATTTTTGAAGCTGGAGCCATGAAATGTGTTTGCATCTAAAATGACTGACAAAATAGTTGCCAATACATCTTCTGTCTATTAATTAATCGACCTATCGTTTCAGTTCTATTGTACATTTTCATGTTTGTGTGCAAAAATCTTAATTTTTAAAGTAATATAAAGTCCAAAATTTTCCTCTGAATAGTGGAGAAGGAGTATCAAGTGGCACGAGGTTAAAATACTCAAGTAAGTACATCAAAAAATGTACTTAGTTACATTCCACCACTGAGTAATGTTTCACAATTCAAATTCATTCGCTGCATTTGCATGTTAATGAACTACCAAAGAAATTCCATGCCAAAATCTGTATAAGCAATATGATCTTAAACAAACAAGTAATATGCAGAGAATTTGACAGTTTTAAGTAATTATACATCTAGGGCCAGTGCAGGTCATCAACAGTGAAGCGTCACTAAACACAGACTGCTCAATTTACCGTAAAGTGAATCTGGCATCCTCCCATGATGTAATCTAAGAAGGAGTACACTCTGTGGAGCTGCAAGAAGAAGAAAAAAATTCTCTAAGGCAAAACCTCAGAAGGGATGTTTGGGTGGGAGAGCGAATATTCAGCTAAGTTGTTGGAAGCATCTGGTCATTTAAACCGTATCAACTCAACAAATCTGTTGACTGTAAATTTTAAAATAATGTTGTGGTACATCTTGTCAAAGCAGTGAAAACTAAAAATAACCTTAGTAATGACATTTTCTCATTTAGAAGTACAGTGAGAGAAACCAGTTTCTATGTACAGTACATACATGCAAACAAGTATTTATTATTAAATTAATAAACATTGATCCTGTTTCAGACATCAAAAAGCCCCTGGGTCCAATTTTGTTGTGAAGATATTTTATAGGTAATTTTATTCCTGTAAAATCAAACAGGTTATATTTCTGCAGCAGACTCCTACCTTAAGGTCACTGAGGATGACAACTCCTGAATTTTTATAGTTTCTCTTCTTCTGTTTGTACTTGGGATTCACACAATCCCACATCACCTTAAACAAAGCAAGTTGAAGACAAAGGACATGAGCAACAACTTACCGGCATTTTGAACATTGGCAATATATCTTAAGCACCATGGCATTTGCTTCATCTGAGATGGATTTCAGCAGAGGACAATGAGAGGCACATTGGAAATAGATGAAACAGTTACACGGCTGTCTCTCCTCCTCACTCTCCGTTCACTGACCTTATTTCCACTGGAAATTTTCTGCATTTCCCTGAAAGTGGCGTAGAACTCGCCAATGAAGTCGTGCTTCCCCCTGGAGTCATAATCCCACACTAGGCACTGTGACACACACAGAAGACACTGTTTACTTCCTCTGTGTTGGTTTGACCGTACATACAATATTCATTATCCGATTCCAACTGAATCAACTGTCTGTATAGTTTCTCAATCACTGACCGCTGTGGTTTGCACTGGCACCTGCTAAATGTCCCTTACCTTGAGCTTTCGCTCCTCATCACAGCTGCACAGGGATATGAGAGACACTTTGAAAGGCTCCCACACAGGATTCAGGTTGTTTTTAATCACCTGTTACAGTAGGAACACGTAACAGATGAACAAAAGTGGCAGAAACAGCTGTTGTTGAAAATGAAAGGGAATATGATGAATTTACCTCAGTTCTATGGACAAGCTGTTCGGTGTCATCATCATTGATTCGGTATATTTCCAAAAATGGGTCTGACTTGCTGAAGAGATCCTGCAGAGAAAATAGAATATCAGAACTAGTGACCCACTGACTCTTAATGTTGGTATGCTATAAGAACTGAGCAATGAGAGCATTTAGAAAGTCTGTTTAATTAAGTATTTCTTCTGCTAACATTGCATTGAAATCGAGATCAATTAAACAAGGTACAAATGAGAACAAATGCCATTCACACAACATCATATTTAACTGAGGGTTTGATTTAATTTTCTTGAAGCTAATAAGTCAGATCATTTTATCAATATTTACCATTGAGGCTGTGATATGTGAACTTCACATATTACAGAAGCATGACCACAAAAAATTCAGTGTTGGAGTTACTTCAGTATTTATCTTGGGTCATCTTTGTTCAGATGGTTTGTATTAAGGAAACCGAAATGGTTGATTCAAATGGCTGCTGACACAGATTTATCATTGCTGATTGCAGAGATCATTGTGTCTGTGATTAAAGGTCAGGGAGAAGCAGGTACAAAATTTATAGTGCGGCATGGTGGCATTTTTGGAGGAGATATCATCAGTGTGGTGAAAAAAGATGGTGTGTGTAACTTTTTAAAAGCTTCCAACTCAGGCCATACGCTAGTTTTCCCTCAATCACTGACCTTTTTCTTCAGCCAAAAACTTGCTATTTTCTCTCATATTGCCTTCTTTGCAGTTCTGAAATTTTAACTTTTAAACTTTATTTGTTTCTTCAGCCAATGTTCGAAGCTCACCAGCAGAGAATTTTCTTTTGCAGTCAATTACTTCTCATATGCAAAATGCATCCAAAATAGCCTAGAATGGGTTGTTGTCAAAGTCATGCATTCAAATTAACACAGTAGTGTCCATTTACATCATCAGTGTTGATAAATACCTTGCTAAATAGAAAACATGTCAGATGTTTCAGATTTGCGGCTGTCTTAATTCATCCTCTGAGTCTCAAGTACAGGCGTCTGAGAGCAGAGCAACACTGACTATAAGGACAACTGATTCTTCAGGGAGGAAAACAAATGATTATTCTGTGCATGCGCGTGTGTGTGTGTGTGACTTTGGCAGTTGTGGGTGGGTTAGAGGGTTTTGTGTATACCGATGAGTTGTTAATTCTGCATTTCCCGCCACATTAGCCAGATACATCTCCTGAGGGACAGGGACAAAAAGAGCTGTAACATCTTCTCTTTGTTGTCATGGCAACCGCTAGCCAGTAACATCAGTAGCACGGACTGATCCGACACGCTTGTCAAAATTTAATCCCAGGCTAACAATGAGAATAATTTTAATCATTACCAATTATCACAATCTATGGTATCTCGTCATTAATTCTCCTGTTCATGAATGTCTACAGAATATTGTGATCCTTCAATATTTACAGCAGGTTGAGAGGTGATACAGCTGACAAGCAGCTAATTAGAAACAGTTTCCTGCTTCATTTGTCATCTGTTGTCTATATTAAATAAATTGCTACACCCAAGTGGTCTGTCTCAGCTAATTTGCATTGTTAAGAAAATTTATATGAGTTCACAATACACCTGGTGGCCGATAAGATCACATTTTCATGGGAACTTTAAAATCATAATAATACAAAACAGGTTTGTGATATGATAGAGCTCAAAAGATGCTTTGTCTAACTGGTTGACAGCTACCATTTGCATTATATACAATATATTAGTTTACTTTAATTAAAACGTTATAGCTGCACTATTAAATTTTCATATTAACAATGAATCAATAAATCAAGAATGTAGTGTTTTTAGCATCTGTTCACTAATGGTTTTGGTTTTAAGGCCAAACGTTATTGTTGTGGTTCACCAAACATCAAACAGACAAAGTTAGTAACTAGTTAGGTGAACATAGTGGAGCATTCAACAGCTAAAAAGGACCAAAAACAAACAAAAACACGTAAGAGTTGGTGGAGACCAAAACTTTGCTAAAACGAGTTTACATTCATCAGGTGGTTAGTAACACGACTCAGAATGAATGGCCTTCTGTGTGTCTGCTGGATGTGTAAATAGGATGCTGTTTCCTAACCAGTTTTGGGTAAGTTACTTGAAAAGTGTAACCTTACTAAATATGCCACTGCTTTCGTTACTCAGACTAGATCCAACGGTGGCTTCTTCTTCGAAGGCCTCTACATGGAAAAAAGTACTAGTAATTCATTAAGAATTAATTAGTAATCTATTACTGCCCAATAATGTTGCTAGCATGTTGTCCATAACAATTTATTTTTCATGGTAAACATATGTCAGTGTTTAATTATTGCTGCTTTAACAGTAACTTTCTGGACTTGTTCTATCCCATCCCAATCTGACAGAGTAGCAGCTTGCTACTCATACAATAAATGTAAATTCTAACCCTGCATAAGGGACAGCACACACTGCTCACACCCATGTTTGTGGACGTGAAAATGTTTGTACAGATGATGCAAAACATAACAAGGCGTGTTTGCAATTATCCACCTAAAGATGGGCTATTATTCCACCAGAATCAAATTGTCCGTGCACGTAAACAAAGTCAGTGTCAATCATTTTCTGCATCAGTGTTTTTAGATATTTGGCATCAAGAACCAAAATTTGAAGAAAACCTTGTGCCAAATAAGCGGCTGTAATGTTTGTTCAGAAAAAACCTGAACATTTCTAAGTCTCAGTGGCACATGATTACACACTATTGCTCCGCAGTTGTACGCCCACAGCTGTAACATCCAAAATGTAACTATTTGAGTGTGCAGAAATCTCAGTGGCAATCACGTCAGTTTAAACAAACCCAGCAGGTGGATTCTCCAGGATTTCGGCAAAAATACTTTCACTGTAAATATGAAGCAATATCAGAGGAAGATGCACTTTAAATCAAGACTTCTTTATTTTTATCATTGCCCTTGTGTAAGAGTCAGATTCAATTTCAGAGTAGCTGTTAATTGCACTCTACAATTTCAAAAATAAATTTACATGCTATAGAAAATTAGAATTTTTCTCCCAAATAGCACTGGGAATCAAGGTCAACCTATGAGTATGAGCTGGCGCCTAAGAACATGGTGCGACTTCAGACCACCAGAGTTGTAATTGGATGCAAGCTCCCGCTGCCTTTTTGATTGAATTATGCCTTCAGCAAAGTTTGACATGGTGAGATGTGAGAGCAGGAGCAGCTAAGGTCAGTAATATCCAGCCTTAAAGTGGAACCCTAGTATGATTATTGTACCTTTACATGTTAGAACATTGTGTCACTACAAAGAGGTGCACTTTTTTCTCTCCCTATAACATGAAGTTATGTACTGATTTATGATGAAATGAATATAATCTCATATATGTGCATAACTTCAAGGCCAGTGATGCACTTTGAGGTTGCACTAATATTCTGATTTTTATATTACTACTACTACTATCCCTGTTTAGTTCTACTAAGCCATATCTAATAAAAAACATGAACCTTGTTGGTATTTTCATCAAAACCGTGTGCTCCACTCACCTTATCATCAAGCTTCTTGGCACAGAAGGAGAGCTCCACGTACCCGTTGTTGCCAGAAATTTCCTCAGCGTGCACCTGAAAGGAAATAAGATTTGTCAGTAATATTTTGTACCTATGAAATTGAAACTCCACACTAGAATTTTTTTTTCTGCAAATTGCACTTGCAGATTAAGCCTCTAGAAAATTAAGGTGGATATTATGTACCAGCGTTTAAAACAAACTGCTTTACTTGCAGTATATCTGCATAAGTGAGTTTTTTATTTTAAAACTTGCCAATGGGTAAAGCATTATAATGGCTCACACTAAAACTGTAAGCTTTTATCCAAGACCTAGCTGAACACACAAAAAAATACACAGTCAGTTTTATGGTAGTATTTATACACAATTTTTCATTTTCATTGCAAAAAGTAACTTTTGTAACTGTTGCACTGTGGTAAGCAGTTACCTAAGTGGCTTTTACTTATAAGTAATGCCACTTCACTTTGGGAACTGCTGTTAATTAACACAGGATTGCTGACCATTAAAACTAGAGAGCAGAGTGTTCCATTAGCTGCAAACTAATGGGCCCCCACTGTTATAGTTTATTGTCTCAACTTGAACAATTAACTTTTTGTGCATGTTCCAGTACAGAGCAACAGTTTGGTAACTGCTGGCTCTCTGAATGGCTGCCTTTTTTTGCTTTTGTTTATACTTTTGTGTTACTTAAAAAGAAAAAGTTCAGGATTGTCATTTTTAAGAAGCTGTCTGACCCACTCGCAGAACACAGAAGTTTGCTCTCCCTCCATTCCTCTATTTACTAACTACTAACTAACTAACTTTACATCAAACTGTCAGAACTGCAGCGATAGCAAACGCACGGCCAGACCTTGACAAGGCTTGACAGTGATGATTGGCAAAGTAGGAAACTTTTTATCAGACAGCTCATCCTGACAGGTACACTGCAGGGAAAAATCTTTATAAAAGATGTGGACCGGAGGGGTGTGTGTGTCTGTGTGTGGTCTTTGCATTTCTATCCTGGTCAAATTGTAAACTTTACCTAGTATTACACCTATCAGTGCATTTTTTAATGAATGTGCATGTGTATCTACATGAACATGCAGACTGATTATAAAAAGTAAATCCAGGACAAATCCTGCAAATGAGGTTACAGACACCACCTTGTCCCTGTTAATGATGATGCTAAAGTGTTGAATTCTCTGCCGGCCACAGTTCTCTTTTGCCTGACTAGCTCCCTCCCCCCTCAGATCCCAAACAACAATGAGTTACAGATGACACAGCCCCACAGGTGTGCCTTAATAGATAATGTTACCCAGTTTGTTCATACAGTGGCAACTCATAAAAAAAGTTCATTCATTAGATCATTCATTAGATCTTTAGATGATTTTTCAAACTCAGGGTGGCTGAAATATTTGTTAAAACCTGGATGAAGCACTTTGTTATTTTCTAAGTTTACTTATTCTGACGTGTACCTTTTCCAATCAGCTAAAATATATGCTGATGTTTCTTATTGACTTTATTGACACGCCACATTTTCACTGAAGTGAAATAAAACAGCACTTCAGTCAGATTACTGGCTAGGACGAGTTTCTCATACATTGTTTAAATTATAGCAATGTTTTAATTAGTTTTGTGTTAATAAAGATAATTGATAAGCCATATACCACTTATTTATATTGTAATATTTATTGATTGATGCGTGGCCCCAAAATAATGCTGAGATTCCAGGGCTAACCCCCAGATCTCCACTGTCCCTAGCAGCGGCGTTGCTAGCCCTGGGCATCCGGGGCTATAGCCCCAGATGTTTTTTGAAAAGCCCCGGATCTCAGAAGAATTTTTTAAAAACAAACAACAAAAGGCCAAAAACATTACTTTACTCACTCAACTAAGGTTACGTGAGTGGGAGCGAGCGAGAGAGAGAGATTATTGTTATTATTTATTACCCAACAAATTAGCAAGAATAAGATGATCCGGCTGTAGCTCTGTCTGTCCTCTCTGCTCCACCTGAAGTGGCTGTGAGCTGTACTTTATCAGAGGCGCTGAAATTAACTTGTGTGGATTTGTGGTGAGGTTAATCACCTGATAGGCATGGGAGGCATTGTTCATTTCAAAATCTATGTTTTGTCCCCCCCCTTTCCTGATGTAAAGTTTTATTTCACATTGCGGATATAGGAGGCGGTTTACTAAGTGACCAGTCAATCACTCATACACTCCACATCAGTCCCAGACAAAATGTAGCCTATAGAAATGTTGAGGGAGAAAAAAAGAAGTTGCTCGAGGCCGGAGCAGCAAAGTGCCTCAATATTACAGACTTTTCTTTTGTGCTGCTATTACTTCTAGCTGAAGGCAGCAGTGATGATGTCTGCAGCAGGGGTGGTACATCTAATGTAGGCCTACTCTTAATTTCGCTACATTTTCCATTCATACCTTTTATAACTTAACCAGTCTATAATTCTGTAATCTGCATTTTGCTTCATTAACCGAAATGAGCTGTCATCCAGGCTGTGCGCGCAGTTACGCAGTGAAGCGCTAGTCGGGCGCTTGTCACAGTCATAGAGCTGGGCAGATGCAAACATTTAGAAAATCAGTCAAATATCTTCTCAGTTTAAGGCTTTATGTTCTACTAATACAACTGAAATCTAGTGAGCGCACACCATGGCACTGGTGACCCTGTTGGAAAGCAGCCTGCTTCGCTCTTTAACAAGCCGGCAAGTGAAATACTTTCACTTTCCATTAACGGCGCATTAAAAGCTTTTAGTCTCTGCAGAGCAAATGAAGACTACACACTGTAAGATCTATGTCAGACAATCACTGCATTGATTAAGATATATTAAAAGTGTCCTGTTGTTGATCAGAGCATCGCTTTGGACATAAGCCTGTTTCTTTTCTTTAATACACAGTGGTTACTATCTGTTTCATAGCAATGTCCGACGGTGAGTCCATAAACAGAATGTCGCCGGTGAAACTAATCTTTCACTCAGCAGCTACCAGCTGTTATTTATTTTTGAGATACACAGAGAGAGAGAGAGTATATGGTGGATAAAATAGTTCTGTTGGGTTTTACACATGACGCACAGTTTCCTCTGCTTCAGCAAGGAGCTGCTCTGGTGTTACTGCCACAATAATTCTTTGCATTGTGAAGATTATTTAGATGCTTCAGGAATAATCAGATTGTATTGGCAGCATGTGCTGCTGCAAAGCAAGCAGTTTGGTTTGCTACATCTCCATAATAAAAGGCACAGGCAACAAAAGTTCGCTGGGCAGCAAAAGTGATATTTTAAAGTGATCTTATAAACATCTTCATGGAGATTAAAAATTTAAAAGGAAAATAGTTGTAGAAATACAATTGTAGAAATAGATAAATTACACATAATCAGCTTCTTCACTGCATTTGCAGGAATATTTTAATGGACTAAAAAATAAACTCATCAAGTTGCCTAGTCTAATGCAATAGACAGTCCATTTTTACTCTGATAGCCTATCTTGACCTCATGTGGACACATAGGGGCTGTGATCCTGCACAACAAAACATGCAAGAATTAAATTCCCACACTACCATGGATAGTAGTGGTGCAACGGGTTGCAGAATCCGTGGTATGGATCCTTTCCACACGGTGCGTTGGGTGATTGATTGCAAAGTTTATGATGATTTATCCTGTTTGACCTCTCAAAATATCCTTTATTCTGGAAATGTCAGAGAACCCAGTGAGATTCTGAATGTGCAGAACTTTGAACATGAGCAGAAAACCTGCTGAAACACTGGAAAAGTTAAAGTCCAGGAGTTTATAACTGAATTAAAATGATTTAATTTATTATTGATAACGTAAAAAGGTGCCACATGCACATTTAAAGAGGTTACCTCAATCAGTCATGCCTGCATGTGTGTTGATTCAGCAGTGATGATATTAAAAGTTGATCCACAGGAGAAACATATCTGAAAGCAACCCAGAATGCCTGAGAGCTGCTCTGCATTATATTCTGTTACAGTTTTAGATTTTAAATTGTTTTATTAAACCTTTATTAAACCAGAAAAAGTCTTTTTCCAAGAGTGTCCTGGCCGAGGCAGGCAGTAGTACAATTGCACATTTAAGATGGAAATAAATAATCAGTTACAAGGTCATAAAATATCAAAATGTTCTTAAATATTCACCACAATTCAGCAAAACCTGAATTTTGTGTGTCCCTTTACATAAATAATTTCTACAATAAATTAATGCAGAAAAGGCAGAAATTGGTGCAGAAAAACCAGCAGAACCACCAGAATGCAGGAAATTAAGTGTTTAACACTCACAATTTTCTGGGGGAGTACCCCCAGACTCCCTGGTTCATACTGTCACAGTTTTATTGTTATATCATTATAATTAGACACACGACATTACAATTTAGCAACATCAAAATGAGAAAGTTCATAGTGTTGTTGTGAGTTTTGTTGTGCTGTATAAGTAGAGGATGTTTACTGTTGCTTTACTGCTTTGCATACTTAACTTTGGGGTGGGATAGAGGTCAATTATTATGTGAAAATATGAAGTTTTATGGGCTGGGCTAAGCCCCTAATGTTTCAAGATCCTAAAAACGCCCCTGGTCCCTAGAAAAGGCCCAGGTTAAGGTTATGGTAAGGGCTTAGGAAATGCATCATGTTACTAGGAGTCTTGAGAAGTAGAAATATATGTGTAAAATATGTGTTTGTGTGTGTGTGTGCTTCCTAACTCTTGTAGTTTAAATTTAAAAAACCTTCATGCACATATTAAATATATAGTGTATACTGTATATGTGTACTTTCTATGGTCAGCAAAACAGAAGAAAATAATATAATATTACATATGCAATAAAAATTAACAAAGACATATTTTGGTGTCAGCATGTGTGGGCACCAGCTACATGGTGCACTGAATTCTCTATATCTGCACAGTTGAAATGGTCAAAAATCCCCTTGTGTGATTTCAGTTATCCTGAAGCCCTTCAAAAGGTCTTTGCTGTTGGCTCTGGTTTAAATAAAGTCTAACACTGGAAAGGGATGAAATGGCTGAAAATTTAAAATGGATAGCTTGTCTTTAACTTTTCCCTCACATCACAGTGATCTAATCTCAGGCCAGGTCCCTGCTGTGTGCAGAGATTGAGGAGAATAGATGACAGAAAAGCTTCCTGAAGTGTATACTTTCACTGACAACAAATATAGACGGGATGGGCACAAAATCAGGAACATCTGTACTGCATAAGACAATCCAATACTGTTGAATATTGTGGCACGTGTAATAAAATGTTGTATATTGAAGTTCACATACTGCACTTAAATGGTTGAACAGACAACAGTAGGCGTTAGAGCATCTAGTCTGCCTCTCTTGTGTATTCCCAAACAAGTTAAAGCCATTACTCCACAGAAAAGAGTGTAACACTGCACGATCTAGCTACCACCACTTGGCTTGTTAACTGTAAGATGACATCTGACACATGCGATTTCTTATCCACGCATCATTTCTTCTGGATTTGCTTGCTTCCCTGCGTACTGGCATGCTAAGCAAGAATGGTGCCCCATGCAACCAAAAATGGACACTAGAAAGTTCTCAGACAGGATGCATACTTTAGTATTACCACTAAAAAACCCAGCAATGTAAAGCAGCAACAATCCATAAAATATATCCAGATACAGTATATACAGTATAACATAAACAGAACCAAGTCTGTCATGATGTCTGAGACTGAACAGAAGTGGGACTGAAAAAAAAGAAAGAAATCTTACTGCTACTACCCATCAATTCGCCATCCATTATTTCACTCACCTCTAACTGGCCTTTTTCTGCTAACTTCCACTTTATTGATGTCCAGCAACCCAGACAATTTCATTCCCCTGTGAGGTCATAAGCATCATGTTAGAAACCTACCGTGATGGTGGATTTGCCGGCATATTTTCCGTACTTCAGCAACAAAGGCTTCACCATCTTCTTTTGGGCCACAATCTGCAAAGAGAAAGATAACCACATTGTTGGCCTTGAGCTCTTAGTAGTAAAGAGCAGTGTACAGAGATTTGAGTCATCAACACCAGTAAATATCCATTGCTTATTCTGCCACTCTAGGTAACAAATATACAGCACATCAGCTATATTTATTAGCAACATTACAGACAAAGGGAGATACTTTAGGTGTTTTATGGCAGGAAAATCGCAGTTTTTGGGCACAAAACTGACAGAACTTTAATTTAGCCTACCATACATCAGTGTATTTTGGAGAATATAACTAATACAAGTCAAAATGGGTTAGTAAGATAGTAGCATCCGCCCACCTGGCCAAGAGTGCACTCCACCCCACCCAGGAAGTCATCATCGCGGTCCCAATGCTGTGAGTGCCATGGATGTCATAGACTTCAAATCGCAGCTTCTGAACCTCCTCAAAGTAGTAGTCCCATGAGAAAACCTTGGCAAAGACCGGGTGCAAGTTGCTCTTGATCACCTCTGTCCTGTCCAGCTGAGAGGGAACACACTGAATTAGATTTTGAACCTTCATTTACTTTCATCTAATATATTCAAACATTGTACTATTAATATTTCTTTGACAATGCACTTTTACAGTTTGTATCCTATATGATTTTACAGCAAAAATGGATTGGAAAATACAAGAACTTACAACATATTTGTCTTCCTGCTTATTTTGAGGAGCACCAGCATATATGGAAAGGAAATGTTATTACGTTGCTGTCAAGAGGATGATATGAGAGAATACTGGAAAGGAAGGTAATTGAAACCTGAGCTCTCTGAGGCCTCATGACATAGCTCTCACACAGCTCCATGAACATGTGTGTCCTGCCCAGTTGGTCGCAAGGACAAATCATGATAAATCTCGAGTTTTTTTGTTATTAAATTAATCTCGGAAACCGACCACATTTCTCCTTTGTCTTGTCACGATCTCAAACATACAGGAATTAGGATTTTATTTCAAGACCAGTCAGATCCACAACTGTGGGGATATCACTAAATTGCTTGTGTGTTGTCTGATTTATTTGTTTACATCCTTCATTTTATTGGATGTTAAACCTTATTTAGCAAATATTAGCTATCCATTAAGTTAGCTTCCTGTGTTACCGTACTCTATGTTTCAGGTCACTAGTTTCAGTTGCTTGCAAGCTATTTGGGACCTAGCTAGGTAGCTAATGCAGTGTTACTTTGTGGGACACCAAAGGGGACAGGGCATGTGGTGAGAACTTGTTCCTAAGTAAAATTTTTGCTTGTGATAAACAATGTCGAGACAGGCCACATTGCTAATGTCAGCTGCATTCAGCTCCCGACATTAACACTACACACCGTAGTACAGCTCCCTCATTTGATGGAGAGAGCTAGCATAGAGATGTTACAGCAGACAGTTAGGACCAAGTAATGCACTTTCACTTCTATGAAACATATACATATTACATATCTGCATGGCCAAAAACACATGGCCCATTACTTTAAGAGAGCTAATTCTGAGTTTGAATACACAGTTGCAGATCAAATATGAAGGATAAATTTCAGAAGCGCCTATAATCATGTTGGACATTTTATTGTGTGTCATGTAGTTTGGGGCCATGTTCCTAGTCTTGACTCGCTCTCATCCTCCCTTGGTCTTGGACTTGACTTGGTCGCGAACCCTAAATGTCTTGAGTCTCGGTACACTCTGGTCTTTGTTAGGACTTGGTCTTGGTTTGGGTGGTCTTGACTGCAACATTGATATACGGTAGTTATGTTTATGTTTAATGCATGTTTTATATCTCAATCTATGAAAATGATATGCCACAGAAATGAACTGATCCACCAAAAAGCATGAGCTAGAGCTGATCTATTGACGTTAAACCTATTGAAGGTTTAAATCTGAAAAAAATTATTTTAGTGGTCACTTATAATATATACTTACTAAACATATGCACAGTGTCTAAAGTAATTTCTTCATTGTCATCGGAGCAGATCCAGCCTTTGTGTCATGATGACTTCAGAAATTGGTGATATTGCTCTCTCGTCTCTTGCTATGATCCCGCCAAACTTCTTGTCAGATAGTCGAGCAGCCCCCCACCCCCTCCTTCACACACACTTGGTGAGAAAATCTAACGCTGACTTTTTTCATTCTTTATCTGCTATTTCTGTCACTTTTCACATCTTAAAACAAGTGCAGCAGTACTTCTAGGAGAGACTGTCTCAAAATGTCTCCCATTATCCCCATTTTGAATTGATTATTGCATCTCCCCCTCTCCCCCTAGCTCATTTTGAGCATACCTGTGTACCAGAGTAATTTCACCTAAAGCCACAAGAACTGCTTCAATGCTTCTTGGCATAGATTCTACATGTCTGAACTTTACTGGTGGGATGAACAGCATTTTTCGAATAATGTAGAGCGCTGTCTAACACACTGGTTTAAAATCTCCTGTCTGTCTTCAGTTGGGTTGAGATCTGACGATTGTAAAGGCTATAAAAACCTGATTTATATCATTTTCACGCTCATCAAACCATTCAGTGACCCCTTGCTCCCTTTGAGCGGGGGCATTATCCTCCTGAAAGAGACCACTCCCACCAGGATAGACATGTTTCATCATAGAATACAAGTGATGACTCAGAAAGTATTGATTTGTAGTGACTCTTCCATCTAAGGTGACAAGTGGACCAAAAGAATGCCAGGAATCCTCCTCCGACCTGTTTAGGTCTTCTACTTTCTTCTATCTTCTACTTTCATTTATTTGGGGGTTTCCCTTATATGTAACCCGTCTGTAATTGCATTGTAAAGATAGGCCTTGTTTATTGTGCTTCCATTCTTTTTTATCCTTATATCAAACAGTTGCCAGTTTGCACGCTGAGGATAGACATCTGCCCGAAACATCCGTGCATAAATAAACAATTTAAGTGTCTGACCTGTTCCTGACCTTTTGGTTTTTGCTTTTGTACATTCAGCACCCTTCTACATAAAAACTGGGTTCAATGTGTTGATTCATCATCAATCCAAGGAACGTTAAAATTTAGGGTAACTGGAATTGATTAAAGATACTCAAAGACATTTTCGTCTCTCTCGGGTGAGATCTTTTGCAATTCAATTTGTTGGTTAGTAAATGTTAATTACTGCGATAAAAATGACGTGACTGGTTCACTAGTGAACATCTGCCTAACTTTCTCAGGTTTGTAAAATGCAAACAATAATAATAATATGATAACAAATGCAATAGATAGCTAGTAGTGGAGATTGCTCTACTGTTTCCTTTTCACTCTGGCAAACATCACAAAGAAAAAAAAGAACTTCCAGAGAGGACTTGGCTTTATTAGCCTCATTCATCCCCACTTGTATTTATTGTCTTTTCTTGCCTTCTCCTCCTCTCTTTGTGCCATCTGGATGGACAGATTTGGGAAGTGTCTGATAAGTCTGTTTGTTGATGAAAGCTAATCAGAGCTACGGAGGATAGGTTGTGCCAAAGTCTGTGACGCCTGTTTGTTGTTGGTTAGGGGCCAGAACTCTACAGAGACCACTGACATGGAAAATGAAAGCTTTCTCTAATCAGTTCTGCCAGGTAGGTTGAGCATTACCTGTGTACTGTAGTTTGATCATAACAAGCCCCTGTAGCTTAGGTTTGATGTCAACAGAAAGATCAAAGCTTGAATTAACTCATTATCGTATACTTTACAGAAAAAGAAGAGACGTCTGCAGTAGGAGAAAATGTCAAGTCATCTCCACCCTGCTTCTGCATTTGTCCTTGGAAGAGATCAGGTGGTGAAATAAATGCAGTTCAACAAATAGCAGCTGCGAGTGTGTGGGGCCATACAGTATGAGCTCAGAAAACAGAAAGAGAGTGGCTCTGATGTGAGTGGGCTCAGCCTCTTACTCAGTTGTTGACGTAAGTAAACATTTTGCACAAGCAATGGTGCCTCCCAGTACTGAGGGATTTGACAGCGGAGGATTGGACAACTTGTGTACACTGTCATGACTGTCAGATAGATAGATAGAAAAATAGACAGATAGATAGATAGATAGATAGATAGATAGATAGATAGATAGATAGATAGATAGATAGATAGATAGATAGATAGATAGATAGATAGATAGATAGATAGATAGATCTTCTGACATCATCATATCAATTTGCTTCAGTTAGTGGAGCTAAAAATAGCAACTCTGATATGCTTCACTGAACCCAGGTCAGTCATCTCTTGTAACGACCTCCTTACAACCAAGAAAAATCCATAACTGTGTGCCGTCTGTCGAGTGTTTTTATCATCACTGGCAAAAATAGTATCTCGACATTCATACAGCCCAAACATTACAGTGAGCTTCTTCAACAAATGGCTCCTCCGTGGCAGGAAGCTGGCAGAGTTGCAGTTAATTATTATCTCCCATTTCCCTGGAAAGAGAGCTTGTTGTTGGATGAAAGGTTGCAGGAAAGAAAATTTATATAATTAAAGATCCTCAGCCACGTTTTAACACATCCTCTACTTAATGGAGACTTGTGTTTTGGCTTTCCCTTATGAACTAAATGACTTAATTAACAGGGAAATGAGAGACCTGCTGCCTACGCTCCAAATCAGCTTGGGCCCAATCCAAGAAAGTAAACATCAGCTGGAACACAGCTCACCACACTGCATATGACCATTACCAACCTACTGTATGTCCACGCAGATAGACCAGTGGAATATTTATACCGCTGTGCAATCTGAATCCTACAGGGCAGGCAGTACAATCGGTTGCAAATTATCGAATTGTGGAGACAGACATTGTTCTTTTTTTCTCTACAAATGGACGGCGCATTTGACATTTTTAATTCTAAATCAGACAGCTGCGAAAAACAGCTGCAAGTTCAACAAACCATTAACAGATTTATCTCCCTGGTTGATCTTGTACGACAGCACAGGTTTTGGGGGTAACTGGAGTGGGACTGAAAATGCCAGTGTATAAAATGTCACCACTGCTTAATCTTAAACTCTGATCTTTTCCAGATTTGATTGATACCGGGTGATGGAGGGAGGGTTAGCCATGTGCTTTCCCCAGGTGTCTTTCTGTGCAACATTTCTGTGTAACCATTAAGAAAACATGTGACTCAGATTACAATCCAGGTGCAGTGATTTGAATGATTTGAACTCTTAGATGTGTGTGTGATTCAAGGCATGATTCTTAAAAATTACAAATTAAATAATGTGGTTAATGACTCCGACAGGAAGATTAATGAAATAAATAAAAATGAATGATTCATTTTTAAAAGCTGCTGCATAAAGAACTGGTGACTGAGGAGATATCAGGCTCACACTTTTCCCCAAAAGCTCCACCTGTGCATTTTGTCAGATTGCAGTGAAAAAAAGAATGTGTGTGTGTGTGTGTGTGTGTGTGTGTGTGTGTGTGTGTGTGTGTGTGGGGGGGGGGGGGGGGGGGGCTCACCTCTGTCCACTGTCCGTTGTTCTGTACCATGAGTATGACACAGGGGTCCGACTTATTCAGCGTGTCTCGGTCCAGCAGAGACTTACAAGACACACGTAGTTCTACTTTGGAGACACAGGTAGCTGGACCGCTGAGGCTGGTCGCAGGGGAGGTGGCCTCCTGAACATCATTCATCCTGTCTCGGGGCAAGAGGAGCTGCCAACCAGCAAAGCAGTACGGTGTGAGGCTGTTGGTAGCTCCGAAGGGATGGGGAAATGTAGTGGTGGGTTGAGTGATCTCAGTAAAGACGTGGCAGGGTCACAGGAGACAGGCTCTTTTGACTTAGTGCAGATGTCAGAAAAAGAACAGAGATTCCTGTTGAGTCCCAGGGGACCAAACCAAACTCAAGCTGTTATTACTGTCTGAGCTATCCCCTTGTGAGGATTATTGTCTCACCTCGGTAATGACGAGAGACAGGACATGAAGGTGGCAGGGTTGGGCTTTTAGGAGTCTAGTTCCGATCCCTGGAGAGATTAATTTTAGACTTCCTAGTGCTTCCTCGTTTTAAATTATCTTAATTCCAGTATGAAACGCTATCAACAAAAATAAAGACAAAAACATAGACTTGATATTGTCATTGTCTGCACACCACTATCTTTATCATGTTTGCAGTGCTAAACATGAAATAGCAAACAACGGTGGTAGGGGGGGGAAATAATTTTAAATAATAGTAAATAAGTGTACGTGGCTGACGAAATCAGGAATCCAGTAGACACATAGCTAAATCTGAAAAAGGCACTTCGGTTTGTTTAAACAATGTGGCAAGTATCCGCCCCGCTGAAGTGTCCTTGAGCAAAGTATTTCTGACACCCTCTTAACTGGTTTAAAGGGGAAGAAAGTACGAATTTCACTACCTAAATCATTGACTCCAAGTGTCACATTCTTAGGATACAAATGAACAAGTGTGCTGCACTGTTTTGCTTTCAGCACCAGGGACAGCGCCCGTGGGGTTTTTTTGCCAGCTGTGAGTCTGGCAACCAGATGTTACCCAAAAGCATCTATCTGAAACCCAGTAAAGCTCGAAATACAATCAGACTCAAAAGCTGTAAAATACGTCCCGAGGAAAAGTTCTAATGTAAAAAAAAAAAAAAAAAAAACCACAAGAATAAACGTTTCGGTAAAGCAACACGTCCCCCCAGGAGCGAAGTGCTGCCGATTCAATCCTTACAACTTAATGAAGGCGATACAGGAAACGCGCCTAAATGGTTTGTTAAGAATAATAATCATAATCATAATAAATCAACTTCGCTACAAATCTAATCTTGAAACCCCAACAACGGGAATCGTTCAGGGTGGCAAAATGACGATCTGGCTTTAGTTCCCCTATTCGTCGTAGCCTACTAAACATTCAGTCTACTTTGGTAACATCGTGTCATTGACTGCTCTTACTCACTTCCAATAAGACAATCTACAGCTGATCAAACAAGCAAACGCTCTTCGTTCCCTCGTTAAAAAAGCAATCAAGTTTAAAACTCATTTCCTACCTGCCGTTGTTCTTTACTCCTCAGCACACTTGTTTAGTCCTCTCCCACAACACACTGCTTGATTTTTTCCCCCCCTTCTCCGCCGAAACTCATTGGTTAAACTGACGTGGAGGGAGTAGGCTCGGCTGGTAGAGAAGGGGAGTGGAGAGAGTCCAGCTGCTGATGTAAGGACTGGGTTATCGCCTGGACTCGATTATTTGCGAGTTCAATTCAAAAATCGAGCCTTATAAACACGACACGACGAGACGATGGAAATGCTATATAGATGATTTTTTATTATTATTATAAGTATTCTGGCAGCCTGACCTAAATGCTGCATATATGTGCATAGTTTTTGTGTGATTTGCTGACATTCAGGCTAAAAGAGGGATGAACTTGTGATTCACCGACAATGCAATGAAATAAAAGTTAAAAAGTCTCCTTGCACTAACAATGCTCTACAGAAGGGGCTTTAATCTATATAGATTGATCTGATCAATCAGATTTTTCTCCAGCTTCAGCCGACTTTAATTAATGCGGCACACTGTTAACATCTTTCATTAACGTTATGATCATGTACACATATTGCAGCACAGTTAAGCATACAGTAGGTAGCCTAAGCATTTGACACTACATATACAGATGTCCCATCTTTCACATCAGCTGCTCAGGTTAAACACTGTCCTCTGCTCAAATTAAGAAGGATGTTCTTCTCATTTACTCGACCTTTGTTTAACAATGAGCTCCCAATCTCAAATGAGATGCATGGGCCTCATAGCACACCTGAAAAGGTAAAATCAGATGCTTACATGACAATCCTCTCAGTAGGATCCATAGTTTGTCAATTTGTACTCAGGAAAGAAGGCAATGCATGCCTGAATCAACTGGTTCTGGCTGGCTTTGTTTCACTTCACCTCAATATATAAAAATGCCAAGGGCACATGTGAGACATTTCACAGCAAAACAACAGGAACATGGAAGGACGGATCTTCCAGCCAGCAGCCCATCACAACCACATCTCCATGTAGGAGCTTCAGACAGCTGAGGACCTGTGACTCTGTGCTCTCTTACCTTTATTAAACATGCACACACATACACCCACAGTATACTGTATGCACATACACATACTTTAGTCTTATGTCTCTCACATTAAAATGATTATGGACTGATTCATCAGTTAGATTTCGAATCATTTGACAGCAATATATGTTACGTAACGTATTGTTTCTACACAACGTTTATGCGTGAACCTTTTCACAGTCCACCCACAAATGTATTATTTTCATGAATGTATTTCCAGACATTGCATAACACTTATAGATTTTTAGATTGGACTGACAAAACAGCAGCTTTTTGCAGAGTTTCTGCAACACAGAAGCGAAGGCCATGAAAGACAAAGCAGCTAAAAAGAACAAAACACCTTTCCTTGGGAAATTTGAGTTCATCAAGTTTAAAACAGAAAGCTTTGGTTTGACTTTTTAAAAGCAACTGCCAAACTTTTGTGGAAGGCTTTGAAATTTCATGATTCTCAAGTGTCCTTCGCAAAGAAAGGACATTTTTCATTAGAGCTTGGCAGTGTTACGACTTTGTCTTTGATTTCAAGAGGACACTGCTGATTATTTGAGTTTACCCACTCAGAACCTTTCAGCTGGTAAAATGATGTGTGCAGCAGACAGACAGGTCAATCAAATTATTCCAACAGCAGGAAAAACAAAACATTTGGCTCCCTGCTTTTTAATTATCTGCTCTGTTAAGCTGATAACCATGCATCTTACAAACCCAAACAATACCACACAAATTCCTCTTGCAGACTGATATTATTAATACAATTCTTTAAACAAGTAACAAATCCATGCCTGGATCTGCATGCATTGTGTTTGACATGCTTTCTGAAACAGCCATCACCTAAAGGCACTTCTCTCCTGCAGTTTTTCACCTCCACTGCCTCTTCTTCCATGGGTATTCAGAGTCTGTAGGAAACGTCTGCTTTGGGGCACGCACCTGAGCCCTGTTACGCCACAGCTCCAAACAACGGCCATCTGCTGCTGCTGCTGTGTCGGTTCAGCACCTCACAGGACGTTCCCTGCGTTTACACATGGATTACCTATTCAGATTCCCCCTTGCTGCTTCTCCCCAGTCACATTCAGTGCTCGCCTTGGTGCTGCTGACCACATTGCGTGTACAATGACCCAAATAGGAAAATCTCTTTTGGCCTGATGCACTCACATTTTCAGTCAAACTAGCTCCAGTGCGTTTGTGTAATATTATCCACGGTTTCCCACCAGCAGCTCCCTCGAGTAGGGGTATTCAGTACATGGGGAGGTATTTGGAAATGATAAAACACACTATTGATTTACAAAGTCATTCTTATTGGTGGTAGCTGTAGCATCCCTGTTAATGGTAAGCTAATTAAATAGATACATTATTTCCATAAGTTTCCTCTGTCGTCATTCTATTTGCCTTACTGACCTACAAATACTGTGGTCAAAAAGAAATCTGTTCCCTTTTACAGAGTAAACATGATAAAGATGATGCAGGATACAAGCACACATGCAACTTATTGATGTCAGTTGTAGTAATAGTGGTCGTACAAGTTGTCACGTAGTGTGCAAAATGTGCATGTTTGGCTCTCCACGTTAATTACAGATCAGGTGAGCAACTAGTTGTTCACACTGCATAGAAATTAGGAAATCAAGTATCAACTGAATATTCAGTGTAATAATTACTTAATAGTACGAGCTGTAATCAGAGCAAGTGTTTGGCAGAGAGAATTCTCTTTTAAAAGAGCATATGATGCAGTGAGTTAACTGACTCATTAGTCTACAAAAAAACATTAGGAAATAGTGACAAAGACCTATCACAACTTCCCAGAGCCCAAGATGATATCTTCAAAATGGTAGTTTTGTCCAACAAACCCACCAAAATATCCCATTTATAATAATATATCAAAAAGAGAAAGGCAGCAATGCATCATATTTGAGAAGCAATTACAGGGAATGTTTGGTGTTTCTCCTTTATTAAAGACTTAATGATCAATTATCAAAATTCTTCATTCACTTTGTCAGTAGACTGATTAATGTTCAGCTCCTCTCCTCATCCTGTTTCTGCTTCTCAAATGTAAGAAATCGAGACATTCACATCACATCTTGCATCACACTGACTGGTGTACTATTTGGTATAGCGTTTAGTGGTAGTATATCATGGGACAAATACACTTAACATCACCAGTGGGTTTCCAAATCTTGACTAAATGATTCTGTTGCCTGGGGGCCATTTAATTTGGTTTGAACTTTTAGGAAAGGTGGTGAGAGTTAACTGTTGGTAACTGTTACATTTGAGTTTGAGTAAATAGATTATTTCACAGCACCCAATCCTAAAGATAAATAAGACAATCCACTCGAGTTCCCATTTCAGTTACATCAATCATCCCTGGTCCAAAATGACTTGACTGTCCACTCTCCTCATTTACTGAATTATTTATTTGCATACAGACAGCTGGCTCAGAGAGGCACTGAAGGAGACAAAGGTCATTTAGTCTCACCTCATCCTGACTTCTTCCGTATTGTATACACTCAACAAGGTAGTTTTTCTGCATGTCTTGTTTTCTTTTTTTTACTTATTTCACCTTATGAGAGCAACCCAACATGTGCAAAATTGTTTAGATATATCCCCAGTGTCTGTTATCGTGGTAATGTTTCATATTAGCAGTTCATTTTGGTTCATGTCTGCCAGCACATAACAGTCTGTATGTCTAAATTACAATTCAACTTTGCCCCCACCCCCACCTCTCCTGACCTTCCCCTGCCCTCCACTTACTCTACCACGTGTGAATTAACATGCTGTGGATAATGTACGTCTTTTAAAAATTCTAACAGCCTGTCATGTGTTAAGAGGCTATGCCAGGTTTAGACTCGTCAACTGGTTAAGGCTTTGTTTCCACTGAACTGTCTGGACAAGTTTGAATTTCCATGTATCAGTTTCTGTCAGATGCTTTCTTCCACTAACTGCTGAGTAACTGACAAAATTAATCTGGTAATATGCTGTTAAATTTTAGCCTATATCAATTAAACTGTCATGTCAAATTAATAACCGGCTATTAAAATATCCAGCTATTTAAAATAGGATTTTAATTCCTGTTACAGTCAACAAACCAAACTCTTGAAGGTTTTTTTGTCTCCATTAATGAGCTCCATTTTGTGCGTCTAGTGCCACCTACTGCTGTAATTATAAACCTAATATAGACACTGAACCCTAATTTCAGGTTCTACTTCAGTGTGTACATTTCAGGATTATGTCAATTCAGAATCAGAAAAATCTGTAAGTGGGGAAAAACATTTCCTTCTCTTTTACACTATCAACTGCTTCAATTTCCCTCCTCCTCCAGGGATCAGAAATATTTTACGTTACTGAATCTTTTGCAAAAAATGTTGTCATGCAGTATATAGACCTTTTTCAGGACAACGGTAACAATAATGGAGTCATCATTAACGTTATTAGTAACACTAAGTCAAAAAGTGTGCCGTGGAAACGGATCAAATTTTATAGCAAACAGTTTTTTTCCATTAACACTTGCTGTTTTTATTGTAAATCATTTTATTTTTATCTTGGCTTTTATCATCTGGTCCCTGGTCCCAAAGCAACAGTTTGACCGTGGTCGCTAGGGGCTGCAATCTGAACTCATTCTCCCAACAGATTTGATACCATCTATAAATTCGATCTTGCCTGTAAAAGTGACCCCGTTGTGGAATTGACAGTTTCAAGTATTTATATAGCATTTAAAAGACACCATGTGTTCTCTCGAGCTTGTTGTGTGGCTGTCTTCCATTAAGTCCCCTAATATCTGTCTAGACCATGAAACCTCTAAAACAAGATCATAATCATGACATTCCCACATTCATCTTTTTAAACACTTTATTTTGCAAAGTTCCATAGTGATTATTTTCACTTCTTCTTTTCCACGTCCTGCTCGGCAGCCTCTTTGGCTCTCTTGGCACGGATACCAAAAAGACGAGCGTTGGCACGCGCCATACGCAGGCTGGCAAAAGCCTTGAAGTTCTTCTCATCCTCAGAGATAACCCGGGCCTTCTCCTTCTTGTGTACCTGATAATAAAAAAAAAA